TTTTAATCATATAAAAATAATGAATATCTAATGAATAACAAATAAATAAATGAATTTACCTCGAAATCGATCTGTAAGTCGATCACGTACTAATCGAACTTGTTTAACTTTTAATCCAACAAATAAATGATTTTCAAAATCACCTTGTACCATTGAATCGGGTGCATTACCAATATAAGCTGTAAATGGAGGTTCACTTGGTATTACATGATTACGTGATGTACCACCATTGCGTCCATTAGCATATCTAAAACAAAAAAACGATAATTTATCTTTAAATAAATGTTTTTTTTTTGTCTGTTTAACCCTGTACCCCCTTGTTGGATCACTTTAGACTCATTTCATAGAAATTATTTCAAGTAATAAAGCATCGGATCATGACGGTTTCCGAATGTTGTGTAAAGTCTTCAATAGGCTATAAATTCGTAAAATATTAAAAATAGCTCATTTGGCGACCCAAAAACTCTTTGTAGGCTTTCATTCTATAAACTTAATTTTCTTTTTGTTTGAAAGAGAATGTTAGAATGTAGGGTATGACACGGCAAAGCTCTTTTTTTTTAAATTCTTACTTTTTAAGGAGAGAAAAATTCAATATTCGAAAAAAATAGTGCTCTAATTATAAAAGTACGATTTTATATAATAACAACAAAGATTGAGTCAAAACACGGGCTCTGTTATGCCCTGCATCTTAGCATGGTCTTTCAAACAAAAAAAATACAGCCATGAACACCAATCAAGCTTCTTCAAGAACAGAGAAAAAAGATTTACCATTTTATGTAATCAGATTTCGGACTATCTTCCCATGCATTTATCTCAATTTTCATGTTTTTGACGAAAATTGACTGTTTTCAAGGAGGAGGCCAAAAAAAAAAGGTGAAACAATCTTTTCTTTTTTTCTATCTTATTTAGTTACACAGACTGATTATTCTGATGTTTGTCAAGTTGATATATACCACTACTACAGGTATAAACTATTTGCATAGTAGTTTTTAAAAGTTTCTTGATTATAAATGTGAAAGAAGTATTTTTTTATGATAATTTGGCTTATTTTTGACTCATACGTAGTGAGTAATATGAAAAATGATTTTTCTAGAATTATTTTATTTTCGATAGAAAATATTATAAATCATACGATCTTTATGCTAAAAACTTTATTAGAACTAATAGCCAGTTATAAAGCATTACATACAGCCATTTTTTAAATAATATCTTATATAGAAATATGCTGTTTCTGGTTATGATCTTCCTTCTCTTAGCGAGACTTTAACAATCGGAATCAGAACCCAATGATTCTATATATTATAAAAATAAACCAAGACTAACGATGCCGACATGATCCTGAAAATTAAAAAAGGTCTAATTTCAATTCGAAAATAGTCATCATTACAAATATCTAATCGTATATCATTTTCCAACATGACTCACTTTTAAAAAAATAACACAAGATAAATAGATTTCCAGCTTTATAAAGATAAGATAATAACGTAATTACAGAAAAAGAATCAAATTAACAATGAATTCAATTCTCATATCATTCAAGACTAATAGGTCATTTGTAATTTCATCCGTCATAGCTACGTGGTTAAGTTGTTCGATATGTATCCATAAAGTACTGTGTTTTAAACGTCAATATCAATAGTAGCCATGAAATAATTTCAGACAACTCATTAATGACTGTTTATCTCGGATCACTCGTCCAATAGTATGCTGACTACGTTGCGCGACATACACCTGCTCTTGTAATTAGATAGTACGTGTGGACAGTGCAAGAACTTTGCGTTAGGCCAGACTTTTGTTCATATCTATAATTAATATTGATTGTAGGAAAGATATAGAGCAATTGAATCAACAGCTAGGCAGCACTGCATACCGAAAATTAGGCGTATTTTTTTCTTCCTTGTATTTATGGTCCATTCTGAATCTTCACAATTAAATAACTTTGCTCTTAGTGTACTAATCAGCATCTGTATTAGCTATTCCCATGATTGACTAAACACCAATTCTAGTGGATTAATGGGGGGTAAAAGGTTAAATAATTATTTATTATGAATTCTACATACCCATAATTATTATAATTACCATATTGATTACGTTTTGAATCTCTGCTAGGCATAGTCTATGTAAAGACCCAAACGAAAATTGTTCGGGTCAAAATGAAAAATAAAAACTAATTTTGTCTAAAAAAACAAATAAACGAAAAAAAAAAAAGAAGATAAAGAAGAAGTCATTTTAAAGTTCTTTTTTGTTTGTTTCATGTTCACGTTTAGAAAAAAAAAAGACGAAAACTTAAACAGTCCAACAGAAGAGAACGACGAAAAAACTCTGGATTTACATAGAAAAAAAAAAAGAAAATCGAATCAATGACAACAAGGTGTTTTATATGTTTATATGAGACAAAGAGTAATGCAAACTTAACGTAAAAAAAAAACGAAAAAGAAGCGACGCAACAGTAATAAACGACAAGATTAACGCTTAGAAAAAGGCTGTGCCCATTATGAGAATAAAGATCAAATCACAGTTACAAGTTAGAGACAGACACACACGCACACACACATGCACACGTTAGTAATAATAGCAGCAATAATAAAACACAAAAAAAGAAAATGTTCAATAAGTCGTTTATTTTATTGAAATGGACGTTGTTGACCTTGTTGATTATTATAAACATTACTACTGGTACGTTGTTGTTGTTGTTGTTGTTTATTAACATTTTGTTGTTGACCAGCAGATTGCGTTTGAACATGTTGAGGTTGAGTAGGTGCTGTATACATATATTGTCCTTCTTTATTTGATGATGATGAACCACGAGCATAATAAGCTTCATTACCACCAATTCCTGTTGATGAATTATTTTGATTATATTGTTGTCCTTGTTGTTTTGGAGCTTGTTGATGTTGAGGCATAGTTGTAGCTGCTTGAGCATACATAATTTGAGGACCTTCGAAAATAAAAGAAGAAAAATATCAGAATTTATATTATTAAAGAAAGAATAATCATATATTATTCAACGATTGATAATACATATAACTATTACTGGTATAATTTCCATTATACCAGCGTTTTTTTGTTTTGAAAGTGTTGTATCAAAACGAATGAATATTTCTGAAGTCTATTCAAACTAACAAAATAGAGACGTTATCGATGCACTCTAAAAATGTTCATACGTTCGAATCACCTGTAAATAGCTACAGAGCCCAAATCAGTTACAGTTATGAGATCAATTTTTATTGTAGATGTCCCTACAAAAAATTTTATTAGTAAAATATATTCTAAAACTGTCTGAAATCGACAGTCGTAAGTGCTAAATAGTTTAGAATAGAAATCTTTAGGATCAAATGTCTTTGATTCTATCCATGGTATATCACAGTACCGACAGTGAATTGCCGGTTAAATAACAATCATTGATAGATTGTGATCAGAAAATAGTCGAACGATAAAAATATCAAACTGCTGCCAGTAATGTGCGCACATTATACTAAAAGATTAATCAATAGTTTTTGTTCGGTTTGAATCATATGGATAGTCTATTATAGAATACTTCGAAAGATCATTCTTTCTAATTTAAAATTGATTTGATATAGAAAGTAGGAGAAAAAGATTTTAATATAGAAGTTTTAAATATACCAGGTGAATAACTGGGTCCAGTAGGTGGATGACTAAGAAAATAACTTAATTGTGCTGGTGAATGTGTTGCGGTTTGTTGACCTTGTTGTTGACTGTTCGATTGTTGAAGTGCATATTGTTGATATTGTTGTAATAACATAAGATTTTCTGTTATTGGTGGATAACTATTAAAATAATAAAACAAAAAAAAAACAAAAATTTATTATTATGATATTTATTATTTATACTTCATTGTTTTATTATCAGAAACATTATTTGTTTGTTGTTGTTGATTTTGTTGTTGAACAGGTGGTGTTACAGATCCATATGTACCTGATGGTGATTGTGCTTGTTGTGTATTTGTTAATGGCATAAATGTATTTGTAAATAAATGTTCTGTATCATATGGTGTTGAATAATTTGTTCCAGCTGTTTGTTGTTGAACACCATATGTTGTTGAATAAGCTGCTGGATTTAATGGTGGTACTGTAGGAAACATACCAGGTGGAATAGCTGGTGCTTTTTTAGTCGTTGTTGTTGATGTCGGTGTTGATATTGATGGTGTTTGTGCATTTTTTGATGATGTTTGTTGTGGTAATGGTGGTGGTGGTTGAGAAACTAAATAACGTGGTTGTGTTTGTTGTTGTGGTTGATTCATTGTTGCTGCCATAAAATATGGTGAATTAAAATCAATTGATGGTAATGAAAATGTTGTTGGATCATATGATGTATCTAATGTTACTGACTAGAATATACAGAAAAAAAAAGCAACATGTATAAAATATATATATATATATATTTGATTTCTTTTTATTTTTCAAAATTTACATCTGGTTGTTGTTGATGATAAAGTAAAGATTGTAATAAAATATTTTGTGCATTAATTGGATGTTGTTGTTGATGTACAGTATATTGTGGTGTAACAACTTGTTTTATAGGTATAGTTGGTTGTTGTTGTATTTGTGTTGGTAATATCCGTTGTTGTTGTTGTGGTTGTGATTGATTTATCAGTAGTTGTTCAGATGGACGAGTTGATGGTGAAATATGTGAAGACTGTTCAGTTGTTCGTTGAGAAATTTTGTTCGATGATATTGATTGTGATTGTGGATAGAATGGTGTTGATGATGATGTTGTTGTTGTTGTTGATGTTTCATCAAATGGTTCACCAAGATTACCAAATTGTACATCAATTTTATTAATTCCACCATCAAAATGATCAGAAAAAATGACTGGTTGTTGTGGAATTCTTGGTGGTGGTGTAATTTTTGCATTTAATGTTTGACCAGATATTTTTGATTTTTGTAATTGTTCTGTTACTAATGATTTAGGTGTTTGACCAATACCAATAACATTTTTAATCTGACGTGCTGCTTCTATCGGATCAAAATCAGGTTTAGATTTTTCTTGATTATTTACTATTATTTAAATAATAAATGATATAAAGAATTTTAGAAAAAAAACAAACAAACTACCTTCGGTTGAGTCATTTGAATTTAATGGTTGTTCATCATCTTTAGTTGTTCGTGAATAAATAAGTGTTTCACCATTCCAATTACCAACATCCCATAGATCTTGTTGTTGTTGTTGTTGTTGATTAGGAGCAACAGTAACAGCAGCAGCAGCAGCAGCAGCAGCACCTCTACTACGTCGATTTGTATCTGACGGTAATGAAGTATCATTATTTGAATCTTGTACATGTTGATAATTTCTATCAATACCACGATAACCACCTCCACGATTATTACCACGATAACGACCACGATATGTACTTGTACCTCGTGGTCTTTGTTGTGAAGTATAATTATCATTTTGTTGATTAGTAATATTTTGAGAATCGCCTCCGTTTTGTTGTAATCTTGTTCGACCACCACGAGATTTACCTCGAGAAGTGAAACTATCTAAATACAAAAAAAACAAAAAAATAACAATAAGAATAATAATGTTTGTTTGTTTGTTTTTCTTTTTTTGTCTTTAATTACCATTCCCTCGTTGTTGTCCATTCTCATCTAAATCTCCATGTCCATTTTTAGTAGCGGCAACTTTTTGTTGTTGTTGTTGTTTTTTAGTTAATTTATGATTTGTTGCTGTACGCCATTCACTGGCTACTTCATGACCTTTTTCAATAAGTAATGCAACAGTTTTTTCAAAATCATAATCACAATCAAATAATGCAACGAGAGCATCTTCTTGATTAGAGTCTGCTACAACATCAAGAACTTTTCGAAGTATTTCTTGTACTTCAGGTTGATCATGTTTTTTATCTTCAATCAATTGAGCAAGACGAATTTGTTCTTGTGTTGGTCGATGCTGCTGCGTGCTTACGGCACCACTGGCCGCTGCGACGCTCATTCTTCTATATTAAACAGAGGGTAAAAAGACACGAAGATGGAAATATTATTTCTAAAAATAAAACAAAAAAAAAACAAAAAAATAGAACAATTTCAAAATAGAAAAAAAGAAATCTGACAATCACTATTATTTCTTTTTTTCCTTTTCTAATTAGAATAGATATAACTCCATAGTTTATCATTTCATCGCCATTTATATTTCACCTAGACTTCCACATTTATCATTTCAATAATGTAAATAAAATCATTTTGATTTCTTATGAAATTTTGTTTATTTAAAAAAACTTTGTTATAAAAAAAATTCTGATTCGACTTCGAAAAATTGATTCATTTTAATGCATAATTGCTTTTAATTGATGTAGATGTCAGTAGTATCAATCTAATGAATCTGTAATTATTGTATTTGATGAAAGATACTGTTTATATTGAAGATAATGTTGATACTAATTTGTGTAATTAACACATTACACAATATTGTGTATTCGTTTAGAAGATGTTCTACTCTATTTCACTGTATAGTATGCTGACATTAAGGTTGATATTCCATTTTCTGATATTAATATACTGTTACCACATATTCACTGTGGAACGTCTCCTAAACGAATACTAAACATTGTTCGCGTGTGAGATGATATCATCCCGTTTCGTCGACAAATATTCTTTTCTTACTTTGTTGATAAATTTTTCTTCCTTTGACAGATCGCAGTCTAATAATTAAATATTTGATCGACAAGTTAAGACTTAATTAATTAAACACATAATGAGTATTCATCTTTTTAGAAAGTGATAGGACATCGTAGAAGTGAAGAAGTATGGGTCAAGAGGAGGCCAACATTCACATCCCTTCTTGTCCAATGTTATTATTTAAAAATAAACACGAATTTTGCTATTTCTAGGTTAAATTTTAATAGGTAAGTAGTGATTCTTTATTACTTGGGCTTTAACTTGTTGATCAAACGTTTAATTATTAAAATACGATCTGTCAGTCGAAAAACAAAAATTATCAACGAAATGGAAGTGAACCTGTGAGAGTTGTGTCTAAAGTGAATAAGTATAGAAATGATCATTCTCCCTCTCAAGAAATTTAATCGTATCCAGAGAAGAGAAATTTTCCTGTAAAAAAGGTGTTAGTGCAATACCTATGGGATTACAATATGAAACA